AGTGAAGACCACTTCAGCAGGACTTGAATGGGGCCTGAGTTTCTGGGACCAGCAAGGTCCCAGGTGGTGCTGATTCTGCTGATCTTCCAACCCCGGTGTGAGTAGCAGGGGACACAATAGTTAGGATGCACTATTCACAGTGATCCTATTCCCTCTTACAGCGAATTTGATCAATTGATCCAAAACTGAAGATGTTAATGAGCAATAATCAATAACGCTATTATCCCTCTCAAGTAGCATAACTGTAATTTTACTTGGGTTACCAAAACGAATGCCCTACTCCAAAGAAGACAGTCTGAGAGAGATATTTAGCAACAAAGAGGATCAGTATGGGATGAGGCTTGTTATACCTTGTGCTGGGGGTCAGGGAGGGGAGCCATCTTTCCAAATCCCTATGAAGTATTCTAAATATATTTTTTACTTCCATTTATACTTGAGTTATGGCAAGGTTGTTCCTCCTCATAAGAATAAGGCAAAAAATAAAGGAAGAGAGTGAGAAAGAAAGGAAAAGAGGGAGGGAGAGAGGGTAGACGGAAGAGAGGAGACAAGGAAGGAACGGAGGGAGGGCAGGATAGGGATATGAGAGATTAGATGTTTACATAATTCTTCTTCCTAGTCAAATTCTCATCCAATTCACTTTGGAATATCTTTGCTGATAAACCAATTAGATGAGGTAAACTAGTGTTAACTCTTTCTGCAGTTTATAGAACACATTCATTCGCTGGTGATCACATCTAAGAAGGTGTTCTTGTTAATTAGAACACCTTAGCAGATTATTGGGCTAAAACACAGAGGAAAGGTGGTGCTGGCACATGTCAGGATAACTCTTAAAAGTGAAAAACGATTCTATCATTCAACCTGAAGAACTTGCAGGCATATTCCCATATTTAGGTAACTTCTATCCTTAGAATGAGTCTATTGGCCTCAGGCATTTTATCCCTGTAGTTTAAAAAGGTGTCCCTAAAGTTAGGCAGTTTCTGCCTCTTACAAACTCTGTGACCTTGGGAAAATTAATGAATTTCCTTTATGCCTCAGTTTCCTCATCCATAAAATGGGGGACATGGAAGCATGTAATTACTGAAGAATGAAATAAGGCACTCAATGGCATGCAGCGAGGTTTTACTATATGTGGGCTCTTACTATACGCATGTGCTAATCCCTTATCAAAAAAAAGTTACTTTTTTTCTTCCCAAGGTTTTATATCCAAATGCAAATGAACCTTAAGGCAATGCCCAAGATTGAAGCTATCAGATATAAAGGATTAAATTATCCCAGAAATGTACAAACCAATGGGAAATACCATGGTTGGCAGGTCAGAGGATATTATGCAATGAATCCAGTGCAGCAAAGTGGTTTAAAGTTTAGGTTTTTGGAATCAGAATGATGAGACATTGAGTCTCAGCTTCTCTAATTACTGTGGCATGACTTTAAGCAAGTCACTTAACCTCTCTAACCCCCAGTTTCCTCGTCTGAAAATATTTATTGGAGCAGTAAAACAATTCCTCTTTTGTGAGGATTAAACTAGGTAATTTTTTTAATGTGCTTAGTACAGCGTGTCAATATGTGGTGGCTTAAAAAATATTTTGAATTCTAGCAATATACTCACACTGTCATTTACTGGGAACGTTAGAAACAGATATATGATGGTAGGACCCAGCCTTCTAATTGGTTTCAAGCCAGGTGGGGAGTCCAGACAATCAGATAATGTACAGTACGAGACAAATTACATTTGGGTTTTCAAATTCTTCCTGTTAAGATGACATTTCTCTCTTTCCTGTTTCTTTTCCCACATCATTCATTTTCTACCTTGCATATAAAAATTCATGAAAGTTTTCCATCCTGAATTGGGCCATCTAAAAGGAAATATTTTCTTGTGAAGAGAGGAAAAAAGAGCAAAGATACATAATTTCTCATGACGTGCCTCTACCTTGTCTAATTTATTTCTTATTAGCAGAAGAATATATTTGTTATAGAATAAAATTCTATGGCCAAGAAAGAGACTCTTTTTGGATTTTGTTTTGCTTTGTTTTGTTTGTTTTGAGTAACCGAAACAGAAAAACAAAATCAAGCAGAGTAGGAAGTGACCATGGAGAAGTCAATTTGGCAGATGCTGAATAACAGAGGGATGAACTAAAAGATGGAATATTTCAAAGATGCAGGCTGAAAATGCTTTGGTAATATGGTGGTGCCTATGATTCCATGCCTGCAAACACTTCTTAAAAAATAAACACATTGTTTTTTCATTAAAAACAGAAAAGTTAGTTATGTTAAAAAGAAAAACAGCTCAATACATCTCTTTTACCCAAACTCCTTGCTCCTTCTTTTACCACAAGTCCTTGCCTAGGGAGTACATTAGCTGTTGAGCCCTTTTCCTTTCCTCATTTTGAGAACTCAACGTGGACTTGCAGAAGTAAAAGCATGGCGCTCAAGTGTGGCCACAGCTGTGTTTTACTGCCAGCCTTTGAGGGAGGCCTCAAGTCAAACTCCTCCTCATTCAGATACTACTGGCTTGTTGGGTACTGAGCCAACTGGGGTGTACCTTGCACCAGGTTGCTGAGCCTTTGTCAAGTGAAGAGAGACAAATTTCCACAGGGGAAAGCAGGGAGTGAATAGACAATTCATGGCAGTATGAACCATTTCTTATCTCAGAAAGCATTATGGGGAAACTACATGAGGGCAATAAACATATTGCTCAGCATAACATGAAACTGGAAGTCATGAGGAAGTGATTTATCTGTTGTCAAAGGGCAAAGAGTCTGTGGCCATACCCCTTGAACACGCCTGATTATACCTGATCTCTGAAGCTAAGCAGAGTCACGCCTGGTTAGTGCTTGGATGAGAGACAAAGGGCAAGAGGAAAGAGAGTTAGTCCCTCCGTCTCTGGAGGAAAAAGTAGGCTCTTTGTTTATAGCACATCTAGGATTAATAAATCTTTCTTTACAGTATATTTACTAAGGCGACAATCTGGACATTAAGTGACACTGCTGTGTTTGGTTCTTAAAATGAGCTAATTTTCTTTAATTTTATATTTCTGTGCATCATTTTTCATTGTGGGGGGTCACAGGATATAAAGAAGGAATAGGGTAAATTCAGAGGTATCAAGAGAATCAAACTAGATCCACTGATTTAAAGGGTATCACATGAAAGGAGGTGGATATTCCTGACCCATCCACAGTTCAAAACGCAGCTCCATTTGAACTCATAAACGTGGGCTATTCCATCACCATGTGTGCCTACTGTTGACATCTACAATGTTGATGAGCCTAAGGTCAAAGAAAGCCACCCACCCAAAAGGCAATTTTGATAGCAACTATTGACAATGAATTCCGTTTAATAGTCTTCAGCTTATATTTTCCAAAGCCAAAACTCTTCAGGGTAAGTTATTGCGTAACTGTCATTATTAGAAATGCTAGTGGGAATGCTATCACCGTTAACCTATCTGGGTAAAACTTTTTTTTTTTTTGCAATCTCACCATCATTTTAATTTTGTTTACATCTCTAGTCATTTGCACAGATGTTGATGGAGCTGTATTTTTGCTTCAATGTCTATTGCAACATTCTTATTGCGTTCTGCAGGTCCTCCAGTAAACGTTACTTGCAATATTTTTATCAACAGTTTTGGATCAGTCACAGAAACCACCATGGTAAGTGCTACAACGCCACTGGCAAGAGAAAAACGTGACTTGATTATGCCATGAACACAACCTGTCAAATTTTCTATTTATTGTTCAACTTGCAGGGCCTCCTGTAAATGTTACCTGCAACATATTTATCAACAGCTTTGGGTCAATAGCAGAAACTACAATGGTGAGTGGGACTGAGCACTGAAGCCATCGTGTGAAGGAATGGGATATGCGATCAAAGAGTACTGTTGTATATTTGTAGGACATTTACTGAGTGCCAATTTCCAAGTTCATTCACCTCTAGAAAACAATTAGTTAGTTATTTAAAATTCAATAATCTTTCATCCATCATGCCAGAGAAATTTTGGAAACATGTGATGTTCGGTTAGATTTAGGTAGAATTATCAGTATTAAGCATGGTTTATAGTTAAGGATATTTAAATATTTGCATCTCCAATGTTTCAGAAATACAAATTTCAAAGTTTGGGAGATAGTTTTCATATAATAGGAAGTTTTAACATAATCAAGCCTCAGACATGCTACATTTAAGACAGGGGTCCCCAACCACCCCCCCAGGCCTCACACTGTTACCGGTCCGAGGCCTGTTAGGAACGGGTCCGCACTGCAGGAGGTGAGTGGCGGGATAGTGAGCAAAGCTTCATCTGCCACTCCCCATCGCCCGCATTACCACCTGAACCACCCAACCATCCCCTTCCCCCCTGCCCCGCCCCCGCTCCATGGAAAAATTGTCTTCCACGAAACTGGTCCCTGGCGCCAAAAAGGTTGGGGACCGCTGATTTAAGATATACGCCAAGGAGCTGACCTTACAATGAACACACACACACACACACACACACACACACACACACACACACACACACACAATTTGGTGGCAATAGAAAGTTGTTCCAAGTCCAAAGCAGTTACATCACATGCATGGCTTTTCCAAAAAAAAAAAAAAAAAAACATAAAAAACTAATAAAAAACCATCACACTCTAAGTGCAGACATGTTTCACATACATGAAAAAGATCTCAGATACCGTAAAATCCACCAAGATTCCTTATCAATGTCAAGATGGTGTTGTTGCCTGTGACACAGCCTATTAGATAAGTAGGCTTACAGTGCTAGGCTATTGTGTGGAGATTACATTTTGGGTAAAACATTTTCTTGGCCCCCATACAATTTAAGTCCTAAGTCAATTGGCTGGTTCAAATTTTCAGTACTATGTAAAGTATACAGTCATATTATTGGATGAGATCGAAATAAACTATAGTTGAGCGTGACTATACTACTATGGTGGCCGATGTCCTAGAAACACTCAAGAAGTGAAATAATGAGCATAATGCCATTGAGAAGTAAAAAATAGTGTTCCCCTGTGTTTATGAATTCTCTTTTAGGCTACCAGGATTGTGTTTAACAAATTACTGTACTTTTTGGAGTCCTTAATGTCATAAAAGAATAATTTACCTCTTATCACTCCTTTCCACTGGCAAGTCAGACATAATGCAACCCCACTACCCGTTTTAATATTATTCTGACACAGTATTGTCCAGAAACGAGACTTTTGGGGCTTTGACAGTATGTAGTGCATTAAGAATTTTACCCAACCAGGATAGTTTTGATAGGGTTATTAAATGACTCATAAGAAAAGCTGAATGTGGAAAGAAAACTCTAACCCTGTACTTGGCATTCAGTTTCTGTCTCTCCCCTCCTGGTTTTATCCTGGTAACAGAGGGGCAAATCTTCCAGCCGCCCTAATCACTATTACCAGCTTTACACGATGGCATTCAATGACAATATTTGCACGACCTAACGCTGATTGCATTAATTAGACCCTTAAGTTGCTTTGATTAAATCTCCTTATTGCATTTTACCCTTAATCAAAAATGTAAATGTGCACCTTTTCAGTGTTCATTAATGCAAGAAAAAGCTAAATATTTAAGGAGATGAAAATGGAAACGATGGATATCCTTGTTTTCCTGTGTCTTTAAGAGCTCCTGAAGGTGTTTAATAAATGGGCTGCTTAGGTGCTTCTTGGCCACTTATTAAGGTGTCCTTTGTCATGTTTCCTATGCAAAAATTTGGAAATCATTGTCCAAGTGTAATATCAACGGCCTGTCTATTCTGCTGTATGAGACGTACTGAATCGCATGATCAGAAGAATGATGTGTATTGTGCTTCTTTTATTTTATTTCTTGGCTTCTGACGTAATGACAAACTGAATTTGGCTTTTAAAAAATATCTTTTATTTTCTTCAATTATGGCTTTTGTGTGAAACTAAAAAAAAATGTTTTTTGAAACTCTATCATGCTTAAATCAAAGAATAAATCATGTCATGTAGGGTAGGGACTGGCAAACATTTTTCTCTAAAAAGCCAGACGGTAGGTAAATACTTAAGACTTTGAGGACCAGACAGTCTCTGTCACAACTACTTAATTCTGCCCTTTTGGCATAAAAACAGCCATAAACAATAGTAAGCAAATGGGTGTGGCTATACTCCAAAAAACACTACTTATAAACACAGGCTATGGCCAAATTTGGCCCACAGGCCATAGGTTGCCAACTCCGGGATCTAAGGCATCACTATTTAAAATGGACATTATTCAGGGGCTCATAAGAACATGAGAATTGCTCCACCTTGAAAAGGTCTTACTTTCCCAGACCCCTTAGGCCCTGCCTGGGGACCTACCTGATGTACCCACAGAGTGTCATCACAGCCTGAGCTTCCCTTACCAAAACCCTGAGATTCTACCATCCACGAATATTCTCACAAAATGTGACTCAAAAAAATGGTCAAAAAAGTTAAACAGAAACAGATTCTTCCTTGAACTGTCTTTAGTTGGAGTCAAGACATCAGACCTTTAGGTTTTATGCACAGTAATATATGTAGTCATTGAGGACGTTGATTAGTGCTATGGGGGGGGGGATAATAGTTTTGCTTTCTCTATGTTTTCTGGAATGATTTTTTTCCAAGAATGTCTCAGAATTTTGAGTTTCTGAGCATGTTGATTTCCCTCTCTTCCCTCATGTCCCACTCTTATCCCACACCCCTTGATAGCATTATTGAAGAATTTAGTTTGGATGTTTGTTTCTAAATAAGAGGCAATAATTATCTGTTTTAAGAATGTGATATGACTTTCTTTTGGTTCTATCCAGTCTGCCCTCTTAAGTTTGATGAAATCCCACTAAATTACTGTTGGTACTAACTGCCCACAAAGATTAGGCTCACTTACAGACACAGTATTGCCTCTTACTCCTTTGGTATGTTAGTATTTAAAGACTGTGCTCACAGGACAATATATTTGTGTTATTCTAAGGAATATTTTTATGGATCATTATGATCATGCACATTATTTCAAAATATGTACTTCTGTTCATTAAGAGTCACAGGGATCTGGTGATGTTCATTACTAGCTGACCCTGTGTTTAAAGTATTCAGTGGAACAATTTTTTTTTTCCTTATGATTCCAAAAGACTCAGAAGACCAGTAAGGAATGTATGATGAGACAGGTTATCTTTCGGTTTTGGAACGTCAGTTTACCATTTCCTTTTCTTCCTTTCCCCTTTTCCTTTAGCTAGTGATGGCAAGTGAATTTACAGGATGAGGAGTATATTTGCAACTGCCTCCTTCCTACTATAAAGGCATAGTTTGGGAATATCGATAATGTCAGTAAAGGTCAAGAGTATTTGCATGCCATCTGCATACAGCTGTCCCCAAGGTTGGGCCATCAGAAAATGGAGAAGAGATAGTCTCCTCAAAGCTTCCAAATGACTGCCTGGAAGGATGTGGGTGAATAGAGTGTGATTTGGACCTATGGGTGCTGGAACACTCCCCATGCTACAGCAGCAGACTCAGACCCTTTCCTCATTTAATATTGAGAGACTGCAATAGGGGGAAGGGGGTAGAAAGAGCTGAAAGTGTACAAAACGTGTCCACTTGGAGAGCATCTCCAGAATATGATTCCAGCTCCCCAAACTCTTCCCCAAATTCCACATGCTCTGCTGGTTACCGCTACAGGGTGAAGAGTTGTTTTATCTCCGATCTGAAATCACTTTCCTAAAGAACTGGATAAGGTGTAGACAGCCCCTTAGGAGAATGCAGGCTACGCTGTAACTGCTGGAATGACATTACAGACCTTTCATTCTATAGGTGCATAAGCAACTCATAAGGAGATGCTAACTCACCAGGAATAGCAGGTAGCTACATTCCTTATTTCTGAATTTTTAAGGGAGAACCAAGAATCTACCTAACATTTTGTTAATCTGAGATATAAGGTGTCCTTGGTCTCTAAATTAACAATGCAATGTTAAAACCTGGATTCATCATAAAGCAACTGCCCCCCCTCCCATAATTTCAAATTCAAAGCTAACTTCCCATATTCAAAGCTAGCACAGACTCAAGATGATGAAAACTTCACTGCAGGGTAGCTAGAAGTTAAAACTAAAGTGCCATATAGGTCTGTGGGAAATCCACAAAGCATATCTTTGTCTATAATAACTTTATAACATAACTGGATTGAAAAATATATACCTATAAAAATAAAAAGAGAGCAGTAAAGTTTAATCACAGTATTTATGAGACAGAGTGGCAATCTCTATGTACAAATGCTACACTAAATATAACAGTAACAAAATAATTCAATTTAAGGAAACAATCTTTGTGGCAATGGGCATAGAATTAGAAGGCACCAAGAAAAGTAAAACTTTAGAAATTCTAAATTTGATATGAAATAATAGTATGGAATATAGGTACTTGTATTAACTGTGCTAAGAATGTAATAAAGATTCTATGACTTACACATAGCTTTTGAAAAAATAAAAGATATGTGTACTTACACACATACACATGTGCACACATACACATATATATATATATACACATATATATAATATATATACATACACACACACTTTTTAATTTGAATGCTTCTATTACCTAATCTAGTACCCAGAGAGTCAATCATAGGAAAACAAATTTTAATACAAGGAAATACGTCATTTATTTGAAGTAGAATCTGTCTCTGGAGAGAGAAGGCAGTATAAAAGAAAATTCAGTCTACACTTAAGCATGTCTCTTAATATTTACTTCTTTAATATTTCATTAAACCTAGAAGCAAAAATAAAGACAAAGAAAGGCTACAGAGCAATATAACTATCTCCTGTGGTTTGGAATATCTTGAGAGAATAAACCTATCTGTAAATCAACAGAGGTGATGCATAGATAAATCATGCGTCGAATTTGTACCCTACATTGAAAATGATAGTGAACTCAAAGAATTACAGAGGCACAGCCCCGGAAAATCTTTTCTTTGGCTATCTACTTCTCTATATCCTTGGGTGCCCTTTTCTATTCTTAAAGGTTTTAAGGGTTGCCATTTATTTTGGAATAATGTATAGCATCATGAAAAAAATTATGGAAAATTTTAATTCCTATACATTATAAAGAACAAACACTCCTCCCAAAATATCTAATAAAAGTCTTGTTTCATATAATTCCTGTCATTGTGGAGTAAAATGTATTTTCTCCTCTAACTTTTCCACTTATTCTTGCTTATGAATAGGCTAATTAATTTATTTTAAATTAACTGTTAGATATTTAATGGTTCTATTGTGATAAGATAGATTCAGTGCTCTTTTTAAAGTTCTGATATTGGGAGAACCTATTTTATTATTTTAAATATATAAAATTCAAAATAGAAAAAAAGCAGGAAACACTGGAGAAGAATACTTGTGGGAAAGACTTTTTAAAAAGATGTATTAATACATTAGCTGGGAAATTTTATATTGAGATTTTTTTTAAAAAAGGTCAATGTTTTCATATTGTATGTCACTAATGTAATATTCTCTAGAGTCTCTCAAAATGCATCTTTAAATCATTCTCAGGTTCAAAGGAGGACTGCAACGATGTTGTCCTGGTGATTCTGCTGCCCAGTGCTCGCTATCTGGCGTCTCATGGCCTCTCCCATTCTATGTTTCCTTCCTGGGTCGGGGACCTCAATGGCCTCCCAATGGCCTAAGAAATTTAACCCATTCACCTCTGTTATTTCCAGCTGTCATTACTTCTTATACTTAGAGTTTTTCTACCTCCAGAATTGGCTAAGAGATGACATCCTCTTCTTTGCTACTGAAACAAGCTCATAGACCCCCACACACAAAATTTTATGAAGGATAATTAGTTCCCACCCTAAGGGAAATAAAAGGGGTAGGTGTCACACAGTGAAGACACTGCATTTTTTTCCTTCAGGAAACCTTAAGAAAATCTCACAGTTGATCTATCCAGTGCCTATTTATATGCAAATTGGATTATTATATTTTCAATAGCCCCTGTTTTGATTTTCTACAAATCACACATTCCCACTCTTTACTCACACAAAACTCCAAAGGTTCCAGTCACTCCTGTTGCCAATGAAACACTGAACTGGTAATCTCTTTCCAGTTACTACCCTCTGGCCCCTTTGGACAATCCCCAACATGCAAAATATGTGATGGGGAGAACTTTGAGGTTCTGCCAGTCTCTTGGCTCACTCATGGAAGGAGGGGGCAGCCAGTGAGCAAACAGAATGGGATGGAAGTCTGGCTGGCCTCACAACAGCACCCTCTTAGGTCTGGAAATTTGCTGTGCAAGCCTGGTATAATCCCAAATAAAAGTCAGCTGATAAAATTTTCCAAGTCAGAAAGTCCTTATGTTGTACAACAAAGAAACGTACAGTTATTTCTTTTAATATTTCAGCTTTTCCTAATAAGCTGGGTTCTGATGACTGATTTTCAGAAGTTAGTAACTACTTGATTATTAGCATTCTTTAAACCCACTGTGGGCACTCTTTCTAAGAACTGCCACTTCCAAAATACTCTACCAGCCTGATCATCAGGATGGCTGTATCTGGGGGGGAAAGTCATGGGAATTTGGAGAGTTGAGTAATAAGCAGAAGGAACTGGATTTGAAGCTCTCTTCCATACACCCTGATCTTTATAACTTACTTACAGATTTTCTTTTGGCTCTAAAGGGATTAACCAAAACCGACCAACCCGAGGTGGTCTCCATTGTACCTTATAGAGTAACCAACCATCTGAGTTTTGCCTAGGACTGAGTGGGTTCCCTGAAAGTTTCATTTTTACCTGAGGCTAAAATGGGAAAGTTCTCAGGCAAACTAAGGACATGTTGGTCACTGTTAGAGAAAAGTAAACAATGACTCAAAATCCAGGTGCCCAAACAAAGATGTGGAGACAAAGCAAATGAAGGTGAAAAAGGTAAAGGAAAGAGAGTAAAATGGGATGAGTATATATCACCCTAAATGACCACAGTGGCAGATGTGGACCACTGTTGGCTTTGAACCATAGCCCTGCTTGACTAGGGAATACTGTTGAAGCCTTCATTGGGTCTGCTCTGTCAGGCGAAGCAACAGTTTCCATGAACCTAAAGACCTTTGAGTAGAAATCCTCTGAAGAGAAGTTACTGTCCCAAGCTGATTCATTAGCACAGAAGAAAATTCCCATGCCAAGTGGGAATGACAGGGTGTACCTGAGGCTCCCACAGGGAGGAACACCTTTATCAAAAGGTGCTCAGATTAGGAAAACATGAAAAAGATTTCTGTTTTGATGAAGCATCCAGTTGACTAATGTAGATACAACCCATTCAGAGAAATGATAAAATATTTAAGAATTTCAAAAGTAAGTAGCTGTAAGGGGATTATCTTGTCAACATGAACCACCTTAATATTTATGTTGATGAATTTAAAAAATATTGCCCCATCATGTCAGAGTTTTATGATAAGATTTCTACTACCGAAATTACAGAGTGGGTTTTCTTCTGCCCAGAGGATCTGAGCAGATTGAAAATAGAGATCATGTCATTTCTGATTTGGAAAATGAATCGGTTTTATTTGACAATCTGCCATCACAGACTGACTCCTGTACTTATCATTACCTTTTTCTACAGCAAAATCAGATTGAGTTAGTATTATTTCCTCCCAGAACGATTAAATGAAACAAAAATTCAACCAGCTCAACTTGTTCCATTAGTGTTCTGGTTTGGTCAAGTCTTCTTTCCTTCGCGTCTCTGTTCCCGCTCCTAATAGAATTGAGTGGTTTATTTTGACCAAGATATACACAGCTGGGTTTACTCAGATACCAACACTGCATGCATCGAATCAGGCAGAAGAGTGAGGGGAAAATATGCCAGAGTGGGCAAGAAGTAACGCTTACGCATGGCGTTTCTGTAGGACTACCGAGTGAATATTTTTCTGAGACAACAGTGGAATGATTCACGGCTGGCTTATAGCGAGTACCCTGATGATTCTCTGGACTTGGACCCATCGATGCTGGACTCCATTTGGAAACCAGATTTGTTCTTTGCCAATGAGAAGGGGGCCAACTTCCACGATGTCACCACCGACAACAAGTTGCTTCGCATTTCAAAAAACGGCAAAGTGCTCTACAGTATCAGGTAAGCTTCCTTCGGCTGCCCCCTGCTCCCTTCTTCACTTTTCTCCTGACCTAGAGCTGCATGATTCTGCAGGGCAAGATGTATATGAATATTATCCTTTGTGGTCTCTTGTTTATTATTTAAACTTAAAGTTGGTGAGAGTGCCAGTCGTTCCCATGGTCTCAGAAGTGTAATTCTCCATAACCAAAATATATTCGGTAGGATGGTGGGTAGGTGATGGTATCATAGAAATATCTGCACAAATATGTTTTTATTTATTTGTTTATCTTATTTATTTATTTTTGGCTGCGTTGGGTCTTCGGTGCTGTGCACGGGCTTTCTCTAGTTGCGGTGAGCGGGGGGTACTCTTCTTTGCGGTGTGCGGACTTTTCATTGTGGTGGCTTCTCTTGTTGCAAAGCACGGGCTCTAGGTGTGCAGGCTCAGTAGTGGTGGCTTGTGCGCCCTAGAGCGCAGGCTCAGTAGTTGTGGCTCACGGGCTTAGCTGCTCCATGGCATGTGGGATCTTCCCGGACCAGGGATCGAACCTGTGTCCCTTGCATTGGCGGGCAGATTCTCAATCACTGCGCCACCAGGGAAGCCCCATAAATATGTTTTTGATTGGTTCAATAAAGGAAGTGCAGGCCCTTTAGTTCAATTACCACTGAGCATAACATACAAATTCTCATTTCAAATAATTATGCCATTCTATAGCATTTAAACACACGCACACGCACACGCACACACACACACACACACACACACACACACACACAAAGATTCAATGGCTCAGTATTGTCACTGACAACATACTTTGAGCTCAGTGAATGGAAAACTGTTCTAATCCCAGATCTACTTCTAACTAAACATGTGATCTTGATCTGTTAACATTTCTTGGGCTTGAGCTTGGGATAGAACATTTCTCAGATGCATTTTTGCTTTTTCTTCAAATATGATCTTCTCCAGAATATTTATCACCTTACAATCAAAATAATCACTCCCTTTTTGGAACTCTCATAATAGTTTCTCTGTGAATCTGTAAGTCTCTGACTTCTTCCTATCCCATATTTTGGCTACTTCTGTACACAAATATAGCATAAGAACATAGACTTTTGGAATCAGACAAACCTAGAATTAAACTGAAGCTTTGCCACTTACTAAGTTACATAAGCTCTAACCTTCAGTTACCTTAATTGGAAAATGGGAAACACCATATTTAACTCAGAGTCTTCTTGTGAGAAATAATTGTATACAGCAGAGGTCAGCAAATATTTTCTGTAAGGGCAGATGGAAAGTATTTTAGCTTTGCCAGTCAGACTGTCTCAACTCTGTCAGAGCTACTCAACTCTGCCATTATAGCACAAAACAGCCATAAACAATACTCAAACAATTAGGTGTGGCCATGTTTCAATAAAACTTTATTTACAAAAACAGGTGGTGGACTAGATTTAGCTCTTTGGCCATAGTTTGCCAACCCCTGATATAGAGTAAATAAAAATATTTGCCACAGTTCATGACACAGAGTATGTTCTCAATAAATGAAATGATGGCTGTTTGCATTTTTAAGTTAACATTCTTTCTAAATAATAAGCTCTTTAAAGCCAAGATATTCGGATTTTTCATCTTTTGTAACCCCTCCCAAAGGGCCAAGACAGTGTATTGTATATGAGAGAAATCGAATACATTGAATAAATATTGACATGTTAAAGATTCTTTAGAGAATTCTCCCTTTCTCTCCAATCTTATTACCAAAAAAAAAAAAAAAAAAAAAA